TCCAAATAATACTGCCTACTTCCCTCCCACAGATTCGTGTTGTGACTTGAATGACACAAGAATATGAATGGATTAACTAATTAGTAAGAAGCAACAGTGGGACTCTCTCCTCAAGCCATTTGTTCTATGGGAGAAGAGAGAAGCAATGCACAGCCTGTGAAATTCAGAAATTCTGCACTAATATGTTTTAGGTACTCCTTAACCCTAGAAATTAAAATCATCAAAATTGGTATGACAAGCCCTTACTATGTACACATTCATCCCTAAACATCACCCAGTCCACTGAATCAGGGCATGCTTTCTACAAGAGTCAAACAAATATTCTGGGGCAGGATTAATCTTCCCAGTTTGTCCTAGTTCAGAAATTTTGTACTCTTGTTGGTGATTCTCGCTTCTTTTTTCTTCTCTACTTTTTTGCATTTTCACACTAATTCTTGTCATGAAGGCTCAAGGAAGAAGTGCAATTAATTCCACGTGGGTTTTGACCTTTACTTCATTCTATAACTAATCCACATGAGGAGAACTACAACACATTTAAGGATCTAAAAACCATAAACAAAAAACATAGAAAGGGGCCAAAGTCTTTACATCTAGTAAAACTGCTGTGCTCTAGTCAAGCTTAATAATCTCATTTTTCCCCTTCTTAAGGGTATTTCCATCTTTATGTTACTTCTGCCAACCCCAAATGCTATATACAGCTGACAAAATCCTGGAAAAGAAGCACTTCATGCAGAATTGAGAGGAGATGGGGGCAGTTCTGTCCCTGGATAAGGAGATAGTCTGATATTAAAGATTCTTTGCTTAAGGCACAAATGCACCTGTGACTTTTTTAATGGCACATTTTAGCTGCACGCAGTATCATCTTTTATGAAAGAGTGTGGCGAGAGGCCTTGTTATGAGTCCCCGTGGGGACCGTGACAGCACATTAACAAGGGAAGGGGCAGTATGAAGAAGGCAAGCAAGGGTGAACCCTGTATTTTAGGAGTTTAAAGCAAGGAAGGCAGCCTTCTAACTCTTGCATCACCAAACCTCAGGGATTTTATGGAATTTGGTGGGGGGAGTGCTAGGTAGAGGTAGAAGGGATAGAAAACCTTGGTTCCCATTTTGTCTCTGAATCTTGTGTAATTTCAGGAAACTTCCTTTTTGCTCCGTTTCCTATATTTTTATCCCATTTGTTTTTTTACCACCCGGTACCCTAGGGGAATAAACTGATTGACTCAAAACGCTTTGAGGAAGGTATCCGCACAAACAGGTAGACCTTGCATACCTAGACATTTGCTCTCTCCTGAAGGGTTTACAAAGATCCACCTCAGAGTGTGCTGGGGAGTGGGAGGGGCTCCTCCATCTTTTCTTTCTCCCAGGGGCAACTCCCTTCAAGACAACCCAGCTCAACTGTCAACTCCTTTGAGAAGCCTGCCACCCTCCCAACCTTTGTGGCTGAGAGTACTTCATAAGCATCTTTACTAACAACACTATCACACTGCACAGGGCTTTTGGTGTCTGTCTTCTCTATCAGAGGCAGTCTTTTCTCAGCTTTGTGTGCTCCACTCTCCAAGGCTTAGCACGTGGTAAGTGCTTAAACAGTAATTACTGAATGAATGAAAGTTTCTACCCTTTGGAGTGTGTACCTAGAAAGGGAACCTTTCACTTTTAAAACTGAGGATAAACAGAAGAGAAGCAATTCTTTGAAGATGGTGACTATGTTTCAGAACACAATTTGTTACTCAGAATTTTAAAATGCTATTGAGATTCACACTTCTCTCAACCTACAGTGATTTTAAACAGGATTTACCACATCTGTTCCAAGAACACTGTGGTGAAAACAAAGAAGAAACTGGCTCTTCAGTGCTTTTTTGGACCAACTTCCCACTCTCTTCAGGTAATGTTCTCATCACATCTGCTCCTAAAAAAAACCTTGAGAGAAGAGAACCTTGGGGTTCTCTTCATTATTGAATCACACACGATTTCTTATCTATGGACTCAAAACCTCCGACTCCCATTCCCTATCGCATATTTTTTGTTGCCTTGTACCCCAGATGAATCTGGTATATAACACATTCCAGGGCCCTTCTCTCCTCTCTGAAGACCTACTCCACCACCTGTGTTTGGTCATCTGCTCTCACTTGCCTGTCTGGTGGATCATAAACTCCCAGAATACAGAGACTACGATCACACAGTCCCTTTCAAAAGCAATTAGTTAAGCATCACACACAAAGAGGTGCGCTCAGCAACCCTTTCCGATGATCATAATCAGACCGCACTTTACATCCTCGAAGGCTATCTCCTCCCCCTTCTGATCTAACATCTGGCTCCTCAACAACCATTTTAAAATGCAGTGAGCAGGGAAACGCCTAACCCTTCTTGGCCCTCACTCCTGACCAGTGGTCCTTTTCTACTCTCCACTTTACTACATGACCCAACACGCTCCTTCTGGCATGCAGGTATCTCACACTCAATGATGACACTTTTTCACACTGTTCCTTACACCTTAATCCTCCTCAGTCTTACAGTGTCAACGAGTCTGTTTTCTCCAGTCTTCTAAAGACCGTTCGATAGTTCACCTCCAGGATAAATGAACATGATCAACGAAACCCAAATACATCAATGGCAATCTCGCTCCCTAAATGACAGTCTCTTTTTATTACTCTTTGTATCCCTAGCACCCAGCAAAATACTGGCAGACATATATGTCAATACGCAATATAAATATGTGCTATTTATTAAGCAACTATCTATCTATCCATCTACTCATACGCCTATCTGCCTATACCTACCTTAGCCGATCTCCCTGTCTCCATGATTGCCCCTCTATATTCTGTGCTCCACAGAGCACCCCATCATCCTCTGAAAATATAACTCCAATCATTTACTCTCAGAGTAACATCTAAAGTCCTTACCGTGGCCTACAAGGCTGCATATGATCTGGCCCCTGGCTACCTCTCTGACTGTATTTTTTCCCAGTTTTCCCTTTCTAACTCCACTCTAGTCACCTGGGTCTCCCTGCTTTCCTTAAACATGCCAAACACACTCCAGCTTAGCACCTTTGTATCTGCTGTTGCCTGATGGCCCCTCACACCATTCCAGTCTCTGCTCAAAGGTTGTTTTATCAGAAAGGACTACTCCACTTCATTTTTTCCCTCAGGACTTACCACTGCCTGACAAATTATATATTTAGTTTTCCTTCTGTTTTTTGTACTTAATGCCCCACCCCTCACCAAATGCAAAACTCCATTAGAATCAAGAATGGAGTGTCCGTCATTACTATATCTCCACTGCCTATCTAGCAGATATAGCAGGAGCTCAAAACCTGGATGAAGAAACGAATGTGGAAGAAAGGAATGGTGAATATGTATGCGTGTTCTAAATCTTAAATCTACTAGTTACACTGTCTGACGGTATTGCTATGCCTCTGCATACTGTTAAGTCACACAATTCTAGAGTTGTTGCAGAAAGCTAAAGAAAGACAAGAACACACTGCTTAGGGTCACAGAATGTTAGTCTGGAACGGGGCTTAGAGATCATTATTTTACAGACGAAGAAACTGAGACCCACTGTGAGGGACACTGGCTTGCATAGCGCCACCTAGAAAAGCAGTAGCAAAGCTGGACCTGCAATCCAGGTCTTTCATTCCCAGCCTACGAGTCGTATCTTCACACCACGTAACTTCTCAAATGTTCTACACTATATCTGGTCTTTTACCAAATACATTCAATGATGATGATTTAAAATATGCAAAGGGAAATTACATAATAGCAAGAGCTGAGCTCCACAGATCAAAAATACTAGTTTTCCCTGAAACAGGCTAATTGGGCGAGCCCTTCAGGGTTCTGTTGGGAAACTTAGTTCTGAGCATCTGTCCACCAGTATTGCTAACCTGTCAGCTGATGCATACATATTGTATTTCCTCTTAGATTCTCTTCATGAAGAAGCAGAAGAATATGGTTTAATAAACATTGAATACTTTATTTTTGTTTTCTTTCTATAGTGCAAGTGAATTCAGTCTGAAGATATCTCCTTAGAAATTCAACTGCATTCATGCATTACAAAAATCACAGAAAAAAAAAAATCACAGAAAAAGTATTTGACCAAAAGAAAAAAAGTTGATGAAATTGTGACTGCAACTCATCCATGATCTTGTTTAAGGAGTTCTTTCTACTTTTTAAAGAGTCCTCCCTTATCTGAATCAATGTACATAAGATACAATTCTTGAAGCACTGGTGATTATCCAGACTTTATACTATTATAATTCACCCTGAGCCAGATGTCCTTCTAATATAAATCCTATGTATTTCCTTACAGATCAAAGATCATTGTACAGAAATCTTAGCACAGACCTCTAGTGGAGCTACATGTAGCATACCAAGATAAAGTCCACTCTAAATACAGCTATAAAGAGTAAAGACATTAAAATTGTGCTAAATGCATACACCTAACCTCCTCTAAATCATATCACACCCTGTCGCCCAACACATGATATGATCCTACTGGAACAAGGCGTTTTTTTTTTTTTTCTTTCTAAATAAACATATAGAAATTATACATCCAAATGAGTAGGGCTGTATTTGTTAATAAAGTAATCACCTCTGGAAGTTATATATGCATTCCAACAAGGCTACTATCACACATAATTTTTCTGGAATTTCTCTTTCAAAACACAGGTTCTCCACATTTAGTGTGCATAAGGATCACACTGGGAACATGTTAATAATGCTGATTCTTAGAAATGTGAATTTAATTGGTTTTAGATGGAGTCTAGGAACCTGTATTTTTAAGAAGCACTCCAGATAAGTTTTACACAGGTGATCTGTGAGAAATAACACTTTAGAATAGTCAGCTCACAAGCCATGCAAGGGCATCAAAATAAGGACTATTGAGTTAAACTCTGTTTACATATACACATAACACATTGGAAGTTTCACTTTTTTTCAAAATCTTCATCCTTCCTGATAGAACATATTAGTACAGCTATACACAGAAGCATCTATTTCCAAACAACATACCTCCATAAAAGAGATTCCTAAGCTCCAGACATCAGAATGGATTCCATATTGCTCCCCGGAAATTCTTTCAGGCTGTAAGAAAACAGAAGGGAGCTTGTGAGCTGATGTAAGCTACTCCAGGAAACACATACGCTAATGTGAGCTCAGTTAAGGCAGAGAGCCATCAGTATCTGCACAGCACATTATGAAAAGAAAAACAATTTTATATGTATGTGTTTTATACAGATAATACATAGAAACCATATACGTGATACCGGTATATTGGATATAATCTCATTGAATCCTCACAAAGACCCTATGAGGGAAACTTTGTTATAAAGAAAATGAAGGCTCATATTAGTGAAATAATTTAGGCAAGTCCTAAACTAGTAAATGAGCTGAGACTTCAACTCAGACCAAATCCAGTGAGTGGTCTTAGTTGTGGAGTGACAAATTACAGCACATTATATAATATTATCACTTATTTGCATTTTGGGAGATGGGTCTGAATCACTAGGAATTCTGTTATTTTAAATTTTTTATTTGGAAATAATATTAAACTTATAGGAAAGTTGAAAGATTAAGACTAGTACAAAGAACATCCATATTTCCTTTGCCCACATTCACCTACTACTCAACATTTCATCCCATGTATCAGGGTTTCTTTCTGATATAAACCAAGGAACAGTTCAAATGGTCCATGTGGGACTCTTGGTCCTCCATTCAAGATATGTAGAAAATACTTGGTCTAACAATTACCTGCACACTCTCTACTTCAACGGGAATAATTGCATACTGAAGTGGGTGCTGCCTGGTCTCTCTATCCCTCCAGGATTTGGCATTCAGAAAGGTACTTCACAGAAGTCTTTTGAATGAACACAGGAACAAATGAACAAGAGAAACTGAGGTTTTGCTTGAGATGGAATGGTTGCTCAAGGTTACACAGCTAGTCATGGCAGGGCTAGGATCATGACCCACACCCCTTGGCCTCCAGTGCAGTATTCTCTTCTTTGTACCATCCCTGGAGTTCTTGGAAGCCACCACAGCCATCATCCTTCAAAAGTTTCCATGAGAGCCCTTACGAGTAACTGGGGTCAGGGTCAGCCTGGTCCACTGCAGACGGAAGAAATGGACAGCCACCGCTCACCAGCAGGGGATATACCATGAGTGTAGAAGATGTGTGCCGGATACTCTCAGGTGAGTTGGCACAGTCCTACATCTTGGGGAGTTGGCTTAGTTGGGACCCAGAAATTTGTAACCTACTTCCCACTCCCACCTATGAGGCTATCTCAATGTATTTAATGCCTTCTTCCCCACTTTTCATAAAATTACATAAAGCCCTACCCTGAGGTAGCAGATTGGACTGTCTTATTTCCGTTCCTTTATTTCTTTCTTTAATTTATAAAACCCCTTTACTACCAAGAATAATTCTTCCCAAGTGTCACGTGACCATTTCTCCCAGCTGCTAACAGATATGGTCATTCCAATCCCCTAATATTTTTTCTTTTATCTTCTAATCCCCCATACCACCACTTTTCAAGGTCCTTGCTCACACCTGAATAAACCCATTATCCATTTCTAGTCAGATCAATACATAACGGGACGCGTTCACATGCAACTGGCCAGCCAGTTCCAGGAATAATGCCATCATCATAGTGTCAACGACATCTTCACTCTGTGCATTTACTGAAGAATTTCCACGTGCCAGGCACTGTTCTAAGTGCTTTTCATGCATATTTCACTTCAGACTCATAAACACCCATACTAGACTGGTACTATTATCACCTGCATTTAACAGATAAGGAATATGAAGCACAGAGAGGTTTAATTTGTACCCCCTAGAAAAGGGTAATAATAGCTATCATTTAATAATCACCTACTTTGTCCCAGACACTGGGCTAGATACTTCACATCCTCTACACTTCATAACAATCTTACAAATATTATTATTTTAAATTTATTTTATTTATGTATTTTTGGCTGTGTTGGGTCTTCATTGCTGTGTGCAGGCTTTCTCTAGTTGCGGCCAGTGGGGGCTACTCTTTGTTGCGGTGCGTGGTCTTCTCATTGTGGTGGCTTCTCTTGTTGCGGAGCATGGGCTCTAGGCGTGTGGGCTTCAGTAGTTGTGGCTCACGGGCTCTAGAGCACAGGCTCAGTGGTTGTGGCACACGGGCTTAGTTACTCTGCGGCATGTGGGATCTTCCCAGACCAGGGATTGAACCCGTGACCCTTGCAATGGCAGGCGGATTCTTAACCACTGCACTACCAGGGAAGTCCTCTTACAAATATTATTGCCCTAATTTTACAGATGTAAAAACTGAGGCTTAGTAAGATTAGATGACTTGCCAAAGTCTAGAGCTACGGATTAGCATTAAGCGTATTATTTAGGTACACAGCCAGGATCCAAATCCAGGTACGTCTAACTGCAAAATCAGGGTTCTTTCCTGTGTGTCAATCTGCCTCCAGAACTAGAAGTCAGAAGAGCCACACACTAGTCTCGATCTGTCAGTATTTCTCAAAATGCAGCCTTGGACTCGTCATTACAGAACTGTCTGAGGTGCTTATTGCAAATGAACTTCCAGTATCAGAATCTCTGGGGGTGGCTCTGGGGACCTTCATTTTAAAAAGTAATTTCTCTGGGTGAAACTTTGGTAAACTCAGCTCTAGTCACTAAACACATCAATGTTTCCTGCAGGCGCGATGATCTACCTTCCTCTTCTCTGCTTAGTGAATGTTTCTCCTACGGGCCCTGTTCAACGGCCACCATTTTTGGTGAAAACTTCCTCCACTCCTCAGGCAGAATTATGAATTCCTGCCTCTGTACTTCTTTAAAATGTTATTCATATTAATTTATCACACTGTGTTGTAATCATCAATTTGCTAGTCTGTTTCTCCTAAGAGGCAAAGAGAGTATCTTACTCATCTTGTACCCAGTACCATGCCTGGCACATAGCTGGTGTGCCATCAATGTGTGCTGACTGAAGGGATGCAATACATGTTTACTGCACATTTGGTTTTAAGCATGAACTAATCATTAAGTTCCCTGGAGTGTTCTATTAATGTAACTTCCCTGCATATTATTGTTATTCACGTCCATCAAGAACTTCTAGGGACTTCCCTGGTGGCTCAGTGGTTAAGAATCCACCTGTCAATGCAGGGGACACAGGTTCAATCCCTGATCCAGGAAGATCCCACATGCCACAGAGCAACTAAGCCCGTGCACCACAACTACTGAGCCTGCACTCTAGAGCCTGCGTGCTACAAATACTGAGCCCACAAGCCGCATCTACTGAAGCCCGTGTGCTCTAGAGCCTGTGTTCCGTGACAAGAGAAGCCACCGCAACGAGAAGCCTGCGCAATGCAATGAAGAATAGCCCCGCTCGCTGCAACTAGAGAAAGCCAGCATGCAGCAACGAAGACACAATGCAGCCAAAAAATAAGAACTTAAAAAAATAGTTTAAAAACAATGTCTTAAAAAAAAAAAGAACTTCTAGCAAACATGAAAATCCTAAAATCCTCTAGAATTGTTAAAGAAATGACCAAATGTTGCCTTCCTCCTTCTGTCCTCTCTCCCTTTCTTCATCCACTAACTGACAGTTATCAATATACAGCACTTCATCTAGAAGTGCAAGACCAACAATAAGGTTAAATATAATCATCACATTTGCCCACTGAACTACTAAAACAAATGTAAACTGTAATGGGAAAATAAAGCACAGAAAAATTAAATTTAAAAAGAAAAATTAGCAAAAATGATAATGGTCACAGATATCAGAAGGCAAATAGGAGAACGCCATAAGGATGAGAGTCTAACAACTTCTCATTAGAGGAATTATTCTTACAGTAAGCTAACAGAATGAGATTACTGTCGTGATGCAGCACTCAAGCACGAATGCTGAGTGAAAGGTGGGCAGCCAGCTCTACAGGTGTATCCTCAAGAATTCATAGGGACTGGGAAACATGTCCAGGTGGCTGAAACTGACACAGGTACAAGATAAGTCCCAATACATTCTGAATGTATAGAGTCAGGACTTGATGGCCTAAGGCTGCACAATTCAAATCTGTTCTCACACTTGAGGCCAAGGTGGCCTGCTCTGTCCTCTCCCCTCTAAAACCAAACCAAACTAAACCAAACCGAACCAAACCAATGGCCAGGTATGACACTACTGAGAGAAGACCTGTGATGAACATTTTTCTGTTAAAAAGCAAAAGCTGAGTTACTTTCTGACATGACATTTGTCACTAGTGTGGAAAGCTTAATAAACGGAAAACCATGACTCTTGTCTGAAGCACCTGTAGTGGAGTTAAAGTGTCGGGGAAAAACTCTTGTCTGTACTTAATGAGAACAGTAAGGAGTGGTGATGATATAAAAAGCAGAGGATTCTAAAAGGGCAGTGGCTCTAAGATGGCATGCACACTCCACCCCTCCACTTACCGCTGTGACTGGGCATTTACCCAGGGCCCATATTTAGTTAACTCATTCCAGAATTGTCTCTATTTATAACACAGTACCCTAGGGTTTACTTGTCAAAAGCAGGACGATACCAAGGTACATCCCTTACCTCTTCCCATAAAGGAACTTCTGCTCAGGCTACTCAGAAAATTAACAGAGTATGCACAAATACTTCAGGTTAGTATGTAATCAAAAAGTATATATCATAAACAATGGGGATTTTTTTAGAAAGCCGGCAAGATCACTGTGTGGGTAGTAGAGCATACTGGTTAAAAAAGGATTCTGGAGTCACACTGCTCTAACTCAATCTATTTTCCAGTTCACGAATTCTCTCTTCTGCTCCATTCAATATGCTACCAAATAGTGAGCTTTTCATTTTTATCTAGTAGTTTTGTTTGGGACTTTCTCGAATCAAGTATGTCACTTTAAAAATTTTTGATCTAAAGTCTGCTTACAACTGTTGTTCCTTCGTGTTGCTCTGTTTCCTCGTGTGACTAGTTTTCTTTGGCTGCTTGTTAGTTTTTGTTCTTCAAAAAAATGTTTGGAAAGGTTCTCTGAGGCCTAAAGTGGATGTACCCACCTCAAACAATATTCTCAGCATGAAGCTCCTTTTCTAACTCAGGTCACATATACAAACACC